ACAACAGGACCTAGGGATAAAAGGTTCAAACTAGTGAGTGCAAGTACTATAGAAAATATATCTTCAGCAGCCCAATTTTTTTAGTTGAACAGAGTCACTGGAAACCTGGATGCTTTTATTAATGCCCCAATAGTGAAAATGTACATGCACATATTTTATAAAGTCTGTGCTTTGTTAAATAACCCCAATGAAGGTGTTGCATATGGGCAAAAGTGTGGAAGAAGATTTGGTCTGGGAGTTAGAGTACAATAATATTGCTGGTGGGGTTTAGGATCAAATGGCAAAAGGATTCAGAAGACTGCTTGGGAATGAACAAAGCAGTGCTACAGAAAGTATAAACTGGCAGAAACCAAAGTAAGCACTGACACAGGACTTCCTTCACAAGCGGTACTTAAGGAAGCCCAGACAGAAACAACAATAATTGAAGCCAGAGGTAAATTTGGAAGAATTACACCATTCAGCAAATTACAACAGAATCTTTAACATGACAATTTCTCTAATCTAGTGAGCTGGCTTTCTTTAAAACAAGTTGTGTAAAGAACCAGCTTGTTTGTCTATGGGACATAGCTTAACAAAGCAGCAATTTATCTTTAGATATTGTCAACATTTCCCTCCTTGATGTATCATTTACACCCAACACTTATTAAATTTGTCATTCTAAAGGTTTCATCTTTCTTTGCAAGTTGGTCTTTTGGATTTTCACCTACTGGGACTTGGAATGAACTTCAAAGGAACTTAAACCTCTCAGGGCAAGGTCTAAGCATCATTATAGAAACCTCTGATCTAAAAAGAAAATAAGTGATAAATTTTAAAAAGGGAGAGAGAAAATGCTGAAATACTACAATACTATTACATAAATAGAAGGCACACCCTCATCCTGAATGTACTTTCCAATTCTGATTGCCTTCCCACACAAAATGGGTTTCTAGAAATAAAAAAGGTCTAAAAAAGGGCACAAGAAATTATCTGAGGCATGGAAACACTTCCACTTAGATGGAGATAATAATAGGTTTAAATCTATTTGGTTTTGAAAGTATACTAATAAAAGGTGACATGATGAAGGTATAAAAAGTAATGAACAATATAGAAGTGGCCAGGTGACGGATTCTATTTATTTACTCTCATAACAGAAAAACAAAAGGTCATGTAATGAAATTAAAAGGTAAAAACCCACACACTAACAAAAATCTTTTCTAGTACAACACAAACTATTCACAGCACCCCGTGCTACAGTACATTGTATAAAGGATGAGACTTTTATACAATCAAACAGGTCCACAATTAGATTAGCTAAAATTTATAACAGATATAAAACATCATGCTTCAACATAAAGCAAACTCTAAAAGGCTAAAGAAGGAACCTTCCTGAGATACAATCTACAGGGGGTTAGAGTAAAAGAAAAGATTTACATTTTCCTGTGAAGCATTCAATATGGCCATTGGATAGACCAAAATACTTGATTAGACAGACCAACAATTTATCATGTAATAGGCGTATCAGCTTTGTTACCATAACTTAGGCTATACAGACGAGCCAGGAAATATTGTTCAAGCTAATACTAATTCTCCAGTGTCTCTTGCATCTTTTATACTCTTCCATATAAGATAATGTAATTGTCCCCATATAAAAACAAGTACTAGTACAATAAATGTTACAGTCATTCTATTACCACTGAATTATTCACCCTTATTCTTTATGTTTTATCTAACAACAACAACAAAATTACCCTTAATTTCCCACAAGAGCAACAGCAACACTAGACAACATTTTCAGAGGGAAACTAGCTTCTTTAAAAAAAAATACATTTCTTGAATAAAACTGGATTTTAAAAGGAAGAGCTCTAAACTTGTATTACAATGATACTGACATTTTCTTCACTGAAATGCATAGTTTTTCTGCCTAAAAGCATGAACACGTAAACATGTATGGGATACTTTAATTGGCGTGTTTCTCTAATAATATGCTCCAAGATTGTAATGCTTTATAGCCTGATACTATATACCGGGAATGCAGCGGCCTAGATCCGAGTTCCCAAGAGCTGATCAAATAATTCCAAAAGACTATTCAAATGCAAGCTGCATGTTATCCGTGTTCCAAGGATTATTTCCTTTATGCTCAACCTTACTAAGCAGTGAAGGAAGAAGGGGTAAAGCCTCTTGCTAAAACTCTGCTCCAACTGGGACTACAGGCACAGCAGATTTGGCAGAATTCATCACCCAATCCTCCCTCACATGAGCAAGTGGGCAAGAAAAGGACGTAGAAAGGAAAACAGTGAGGGAAACCCTGACTCGTGTTCATTAGATTCAAGAATCAGGAAGGAGCTCCATCAAATGGATGAATTTACCCTTCTATCTCCCTCATTGCCCCCACATACAAAGAAGCAATGTGAAGCAGGACAGAATTGTGACTTGGCTAAAATTCATTCTCTGCTTTCTTCCTTAAACTGTGCACTATGGACCACCCCTTTCTTGAGACAGATTGCACAGGTGGAATGCCCTGTTCCTTAGTGGTGACTCCACATGCAGCACATGAGGGTATTTTTACAAGTTTCTCAGCCCTTGCAGTAGCTAAAGAAATATTGGAGCTTTTAGATTGGAAAGGGAAGGACAAAAGGGAGAAGCAAAAGTACACAGGGGACAGAAAAAGGAAAACCATCAGATGTAAACGAAATAAATACAAGGAGGTGATATGTACTAATTTAGTAACTATGATCATATGGTACTATTTATAAAATGAGAATCAGGGCAAAAGGATTTAAATAAAATCCAAAAGAACATTCTGCATCTCTAATGTTGTAAAACAATTATTTATTCAATAGATTAATTCATGAAGCCACGTATGTGTGATTTTTAACCTCCAGCAACTCTACAGCATTGCATAAGTGTATATTCACAAGAACTGGGGAAAAATAAGCAGCTAGCTGAATTGACTAGGCATTTCTGATTAGATTTACATTGTACTATGTACATGCATAGTACTTTACAGATGAATAAATAGAAAGATAAGCCCCCAGCCCCCAGGCTTCCGACAATGTAATTAAAATAAACATTATAAAAACAATTTAAATAAAAGGTGTAAAAGTGAAAATATGGGAAGCTTTTCTTAGGGAACATAAAACTCTTGTGGGAAAATGTATTAATTTATTTATTAGTTACATTAGATTACTTTAAACATGCATATATTTTAGAAGTCTAATTTGGTGAAGTATCAGTATAAGGTTTTTAAGAAGACATGTATATCAGAGAAGAGGTTTGAATGGGGAAAGCATCATTTTTGGTGCAGAAACAAAAGACTTTTCCCAGCCTAAAATCAGCATGAAAGACAAAAAAAGCTAGAATCGCGATTCAGGAAAGCACTTAAATCCTACTGGCTTCAATGGAATATCAGCATGTGCCTTGCTTAATGATGCCTCTTTCCCGACCTGGGATCTAGAGTGGAAGAAGAAAACAAAGGATACAGAGGGGCAGAATACTTGTGCAGAGCAAAATGGAAAACAGGAAATGATATGACCTGAGATGGAAGCAGAAACAGGCTTGTGCAGAGCCTCAAAAGTGAGAATCAGAGCAGGATCAAGACCCTGATGCAGAAGCTGAGCAAAATCCAGTCAAGGAATGCAAACATGGACTCAAGACGATCCAAACAGGGAGAGTGGGGATTACAATAAATGAAAAAAGCTTTGCCAAAAAGTAAGTTGTAGTAAGGTCACAAAGTAGAGGATCAAAAAGGAGGAAGTTGCAGTATCCTAAGGCAGGCATGGACAAGGCATATAAAATTTTAAGTTGTAAGTCTATAAAGGAAAGTACAGCTTTTAGAAAAGTTAAAAGGGAGCTGATCAGAAAAGTTTCAATGAAAACGTCTTTTTCAAGAAAGACAAGAAGTCTTTTCATAATTTTTGTGTGTTCCAATAAGCATAAGAAGCTCTGAAGTTATTCAGAAAATTTAGACAGGAACATTCCCAATAACAAAAGGAATACGTTCATGGGGTGAGCAGAATTATCAGCAATAAGAAGAGGAGGGAGAATTTGTTGAGAGAGAAATGGATGAAGACCACTCAGGTTATGAGCCTGGCTGGCCAGCAACTGATAGGCAAAAGGAAAGAAGTGAGGAACAATATGAAGAATTTCCATTTTAAGTTAGTGATGGGACACCTCGGCAGAAATGCAATACTAAACAGAGGCCGCATCCAGACTAGCACGGATGTTTTGGTTCCCCAAGGACAAGAAGCAGTGACACACCACTGCTTCTTGTCCTTGGCCCTTCAGAGCTTCAGAAGAAACAGCGTAGATAAAATCTCAAGACTAGATAAGGTTACTGGAAACAAGAATGAAGGTCCCAAACAGAAAGGAATAAAAGGAAGAGCCTCCCACAGATGCACTGAAAGAATTATTACAATAGTAGAAGGAGAATCAGGAAAGCACAGAGTGACAACTGTCAGGGTAAAACCCATGGGACGGGAATGATCGACTAGGATAAGAAAAGAAAAGTCTTCAGATTTGGGTAGTAGTAAGCCAACAATAATCCTTGTTAGAACATTCTGAGTGGAGTGAGTAGAAACTAAAAAAAACAACAAGATTAAAAAGAAAATTAAAGTGGAAGAGTTGAGACAATAAAAACAGCATCTCTCAAGAAGATAAGAAAGAAGAATACAACAAAAGTGAAGATAAGGGGATGAGGAGCAAAAGCTGGTGTTCCCTATAGTAGAAGTTACTTATAAATGGTCACAATCAAAACCAAATTATTTTCTTGCTATGCAGGACATGCAGACTAAAGGATACAATTTGTCCCATAATAGCTCTTCCTCTCTTGCTCTCATTTTAGTTTAGTAAGAATAGACATCCTTATGAATTTTAAATGCAACTCTAATTGGGCTTATAAATGGTAGTCTCAAAAGTATGCATGTTACAATAAACACAAATTAGAAGTAAATTAAACCTTAATTATATCTAGCAAGTTTTATGTCCTAATTAGAAACAGTGTTCCAACAATAAAAGTGACTTACCACCTGAATTAGCTCTGCCACAATTGTCTAATCTTCCTAAACATTCTTTGTGAGCTCCAGCTCCACACTTCGAACATAAATAGCCTTGATAAAATGTTCCTCTGTAAAAGTAAAATTAGGTAGTGATACATTAAGGGTGATAAATTCTATACATATGAAATCTTTAACATAAAAGAAATCAAAGGGATCTTGCAGAATGTATTAGAAGTCATCTGCTGTGCTGCATAATGATAATAGTTAAGGACTTGAGGAATAGATGCAACTATCTATGGACAACACGCAACACCAATCTGCTTTACATCATTTCAAGCCGTTTTAAATTACAAACAGACAGTTCTTCTGGACTACTAGTAGAATAACACACTCTATTTCAATTTGGCACAAAGTGGCTCTGGCATACCACAGTACACTCTAAATTTGTACCAAGCATGGTGTAGCTACCTTATCAATGATTTATACTCCAGTTGATCTCACTGGGAATTATGATTTTTTGCTATGCATGTTAGGACTGGATTTATTTCAAGTAAAATCATTTGTTTTCATTTGGTTTTTGTTTTTCTCAGCACTAAAGGCTTTCTTAACTACCTGCCTTGATAGATGCTGGCAAATTTTAAGAATTACTGAGTACCACCGCAGAGGGATCCATCATCCTGTTGACGAGTATTATCCAAAGCAATTTAATAAACTGGAATCTGAACCAACTGAATTTCAAGAAGTGGGGATTTGTTTCAGTTCTACCCACAGTTTTAATTCTAGTTCAGACTACTAGGAGACCATAGGAATAGACAGAAATTATATTTGTTACACCATCAGCCCCTTGAAATCACTCTGAAGCTATGCCCAAACAGAAGAGCACAGCTGCAAAGCCCTCTGATTGCATAACAAATTAACCCTCATTGTATGAGGGTTCAAATGAAACCTCTCAAGTGGAGTGACTTTATTAATTTCTGTCTGAGCTGCTGTTTCTGGATGGGAGATGGAGAAGGCAGGGCAGGGATGTCCCTTCTAGGGTTTTCTCAGCCCCACTGAAGGGGGTGGTGGCAGTGGATTGGAGCCCATCCCTTGGGGTGGCTCCAATCTATCCAGTTTCCCCCCTGGTCCAGCAGGGCTGAGAAAACTCCAGAACAACCTGCCTTCTCTCCCCACCCCATCCAGAGACAGCAACAGAGCTTGGAGCCGCAAGTTGGGGAGGAACCAGGGGAAGATGCAGCCTCTCTCCACCCTCTTGATCCAACAGCTAACATCTGTTGGATCAGGAGGATCAGTCTAACTCAGGGCAATTTCTATGAATCACCATGAGTTAGACCCGGGAGCTGCATTTCTGTCTGTGCCTAATGTGGAGAAGAAGGAGCTCATTTGTATGATTTTCCAGCCCTAAACAGCTCCACAAATAGGAATCCAATCGCAGCAGCCTTTGCTAGCACCTTCACGCTGGGCTTAGCTATCTCCAAGATCTTTTGGCTCAGTCTGGAGTCTGCATTACATGGTAATATAACATAACGTTCACACGCAAGCCCACCAGCTAACAATGCTACCACTAATGTAAGCCTTGTCAGCTGTAGGGCTGGCAGCTGGTGGGTCACCCCAGGGCTAGGAGTGCCTCAGTTGAAGGACTCCCACCACAGGGGAGCACTTGGCCACAAGTTCAATTAATGGTGTGATTAGTACAAGTTACAAAGTTATTGCACATTTTTTGTGGAATAACTTTGTACCTTATAAAATGCAAATGGTTTGATCATACCATTAACTGGTTTAACAGGTAGCTGGGTCGCAACTTAAGGCACAATTACCTGGTTTCTCACCGTAAGCGTAACCTGTAGAGGGAGCCAAAAAGTCTGCACCTTGGAAATTAACTGAGCCTCACAAGTCCAACAGGAAGAAATGAGTATAAATGTAAATAAATATGAAAATAAGCACTAGCGTTTTAATCATGAAAACCCTAGTAGGGTCTCACAAGATATGAAGTATTTTCAAGTAATATAAAAATACTGCATTGTAAATATTTTTTAGGTGCGCAGTGAAATTTTGGGGAGAAAAGGAAGGAAGCATAAATTTGTCTGCACCCTGGGTCCTCTACATTCCTCCAGTTCAACAACATTGGTCTACTAATGGGAAGAGCCTGTTCACTCATATTTTACAGCTCAGTTTCTCATATGTTGTGTAGAATTTGACAAGACAAAACCTTCTGGCTCCCCCTCAATGCCTGAAACTTCACTCTGTTCTGAGGATCCTGTGGGTCACAAGACAGAGTTCTGCGTGCTGCTTTAGTGGTGCTGGTACTCTAGTAGACAAGCTATCCAAATTCTAACTTCAGGAAGAATTAAAAACTATACAAAACCAAGGAGGAAAAACTAAATAAAAACTAATAAAAACTATACAAAAACAGAAGGAAAAGGAGAGAATAATGCTAAAGAGACATTGTTAACAGTGTGCCTGCATGTTGAGGGTCCAAGATTTTAACATCATTTTTTGTTTGGTAAGGTTCTTTTTCCTATATCAAAAAATGTCATTTATATTAGGTTCATTTTACAGCCTGTTTAGATTGAACACATATCTAACTATCTATACCATTTTCTTACAATCCTTTAATTTAAGTATCTTGGTAGAAAATATTTCACTGATAAGACTCACCTCAGAAGCATCTGACAAACCTTGCAGGATGTGACACGACTGAAGGTGTGCATTTTGAACTCATGAAAACTTGTATCTGCATAGTCTGGCCTTATGTTAGACCTAGAAGTAAATGACATAGATAATGCATTTTTATTAAGGACATTCGGAATCTAATGTCAATGCACTGAATTATCCAAACCTTTTTTCTACAATACAAAGAATGAAGATACTTTTTAGGATACATCTACTCTGATTGTTAGGGTCAACCTGAAGGCTGCCCTGAAGATCATGTCTAATGACAATTTGTACATTACTTTGCTTAATCCCCAAAAGAAATTCAGTCCAGCTTCAAGATCTCTGATGAACTTCCAAGTTATATTGTGCCTGTTGTAGATCACGTCCTATCTCTAGTTTCTAAAGTGCATTCAGAATTTACCAAGGTGAACAGATCTCAAGCAGAGAGATCCAACAGCTAAAATTGCACAATTTGCCATTCCCAATGTCCAACCCTTCTGCATCCCACTTTTTTTCTCTACAGCCAGTAAATCAATACATGCAGAGAATGAAAAAAATAGTCCATAATTCCCAGCAGGTATCTTCTTTATAAATAAGATGGACAATGTGGCTGTTTTTAGCATGGGCTACACAGAAATATACAGAAAAAGAAAAGCAGCTCAGGCAGGTAGAGCATGACCTCAAGGTCAGTCTTAGATATTGGTATAGAAATGCTCTCACGGAGCACATTAACTGAGAAAGCCACCCCACACTAAAAGGATGCTTCTCTGCTTTTTCCTTTTACTTTATGGCCCACTCCAGACCAGGATTGGTGACCCACTTTTCCTTCCAACACTCCACTTGTTAATTCTCAAAACATTTCATTCTGCTGATCACCAGGAACGGTTATGGAACACAAATTAAGAACCACTGCATTAGCTACTGCAATGAGCAAATGCAGGGCAGAGTTAAAATATGATTACCTGCAACAAATTAGATAACAAAAGCTATTTCAGAAGTAATTCTACAATATTTACTGCCCTTTTGTCTAGTGTTTCTTAAATGAGTTTAACTATTGCCAACAGATGTCACTATATTAAGCATTAATTTACCCAATACAATACAAGATTACTAATTGCACTTCTAAAATATCATTTTATTGGCAGGAAACATATGTCCACAGGTCTACTGGCTATACTTGTCTTCTAGTTTTTCTTTCCCATTGTTTCTCTTTAAGCAATACTAGCTTAGAGAAAAACCCCTTCATCACCTAGCTGTATTGCTAATTAGTTGAAGTATTTTTAAACTGTATTTAGCAATTAATTTGTTTTCCCTATAATTCTTTTAATCTCAGGGAGTGTTTGTATTTGTGTATTTTTCTCTGCATCATGTCACTACTTTATTATTTTTATTACATAATTTTATTTTTTTAATAAGCTGCCAACTTTTTTTAAAAAATCATGTCTAGTTTAATAAATTGCTAAAACAACAGGATCACAGATATGCTTAGGTCTGTTCTTGTGCTCCAGATACTCTGGGTGAATGCATGCCAGTGGATGAAGGGGAAATGGAACTGGCAAGGGTTAATATGGTTTACTGTTGCAGTAAGAATATTTAGGATTCTGCAGATTCCTGGTGTTTGCTTGCTAAAGAGGCATAGGTAAACAGCAGAAATCAAACCAGGGAAAATTATGTAAAGGAGGAAGGAAATACAAAAATGTCTAACACTTCTGGAAAGCACCCAAGAGGTTCAGAGACATGAATTTACTGGCAGATATTACCAATAAAGATGGTGATATTTATAAGATAAAATTTCACTTTCACATATTATAAGCAATTCGCAGAATAAGAAATATTGAAGCCACAAACTGCAATGAAGCATAACATAGGAAAGAATCCAAACATCAATCTCTACTACCAAATGAAGACGTATGAAAAAACATTCAAAGCAGCAATTGGAGTAGTAAGCATTAACGCGATGATGTCAAAAAGGGAAGTCTTCTCATCCATCTCCTGAATATGAGCATGCTGAAAATGAAACTGAATTCTAACAGCAAATGGGACTTCTCTGCTCTCCTGCTTGTGAATAATCTTACATTTAGCACTGTTTTCCAAATGTCTCTGTGGACATCATCCCAATGCTGTAACTCTGATTAAAAATGGTGATATATACTATCCTTCTATACTCTAGAGGAAAAAGATATAGATTCTGCACATTATTTTTATACTAATCTTAATTATGGTAGAGCAGAACTGGACTCTGTGTAAAATATGTAGTAAGATGTGGTTCTTGCCATCAACAGCTTACTGCCTAAGAGTATTCTGCTCTACCATAATT